CGGGGCCCGCCGGCGTTGGGAAGCCCGGCCTCGACGGGCTGCCGGGCGCGCCCGGCGACAAGGGCGACGTGGGGCCCCCGGGCGGGCCAGGTGTCGCCGGGGAGCCCGGCCCTGTGGGGCCGCGGGGACCCCCCGGCATCGACGGGATCGGTGTCCCGGGGGTCGCGGGGGTGCCGGGGATGCAGGGCCCCATGGGACCCAAGGGAGAGCCCGGCATCCGCGGCCTCCCTGGCATGCCAGGCCCCACGGGCTATGGGAAGCCAGGCATGCCCGGCCTGAAAGGAGACCGCGGGCAGCCCGGGGCACAGGGCGCCATCGGCGATAAGGGGGAGCCCGGTGTCGATGGGGAGCCGGGCGAGCCAGGCCCTGCCGGCATCATCGGCCCGCCGGGCCCGCCGGGCTCCATGGGGCTGCCGGGCAAGCACGGGCTGCCCGGCCCCAAGGGGGACGTGGGGCCGAGCGGGCCCCCGGGAATGCCGGGGGTGCGCGGCGACCAGGGCCCGAACGGCTTCGCGGGGAAGCCGGGGGTGCCGGGAGAAAGGGGCCTGCCCGGCTCCCTGGGACCCCCCGGCCCGACAGGCCCCAAAGGTGAACCGGGGTTCATCGGCCTTCCGGGGGTGCCTGGGTTAACGGGCGGCCCCGGGCCCAAAGGGGACGGTGGGATCCCGGGGCAGCCGGGGCTGAGGGGCCCCTCCGGCATCCCCGGACTGCAGGGACCTGCTGGTCCCATGGGGCCTCAGGGGTTACCAGGTCTGAAAGGGGAGCCCGGGCTCCCTGGCATTCCCGGTGAGGGGAAGACTGGCGAGCCTGGCATGGCCGGACCCATCGGCCCACCCGGAATGCCAGGAACGCCGGGGCTGAACGGGCCACCGGGGCCACCGGGGCCACCTGGGCCACCAGGAGCGCCGGGAGTGCTGGACGAGACGGGCATCGCGGGGCTGCACCTGCCGGACGGTGGCGTGGAGGGGGCTGTGCTGGGCAACGGGAAGCCGGGCAAGCCGCAGTATGGCCGAGGAGAGCTCGCTGCCCGCATCGCGCCGGCCTTCACTGCCATCCTCACCTCCCCCTTCCCCGCATCCGGCATGCCCGTCAAGTTTGACCGGACCTTGTATAATGGGCACAATGGCTACAACCCGGTCACTGGGATCTTCACCTGCCCCGTATCCGGAATCTACTACTTTGCCTACCATGTGCACGTCAAAGGGACCAACGTTTGGGTGGCCCTGTATAAGAACAACGTGCCGGCCACCTACACCTATGATGAGTACAAAAAGGGGTACCTGGACCAGGCCTCGGGCAGTGCTGTGCTTGAACTCAAGGAGAACGACCAGGTCTGGGTACAAATGCCCTCGGACCAGGCCAATGGACTGTACTCCACAGAATACATCCACTCCTCCTTCTCTGGGTTCCTGCTCTGCCCCACATAACAGCTGTTGGGCATGTTTCCTTTTCACCCACTTTAGCCATAAACTTTTTTTTTTTTTTTTGATAAAAAAGTGTTTTAAAAATACAAAAAAGAAAAATCACTGGGAAGAACGAGCAAGACATTGTCATGGGACCTTGCTTCACACTGTTTGATCCATGAGTCAAGAGGGTAATCGGGAAGGAGACATCTATCCATCTATCTTTCTTTTTTGGGGGAGGGAGAAGGGAGGGAGGGGAGTGACTTCCTCAACAAAGCATATTTGGAATAAGTACCCCAGTGACTGGACATCAAACACAGGAACACGCTTGGGATGGCAAGGATCTGGCTCTGTGATCCAGAGAGGAAGACCAGACCCCTGTGGTGTGTATCAAGTGCCCTCATTTCCCATTTGGAATGCTAGATAAATAAATCCAGCTGTGCCATGGCTGATGTGTTGGTAACCAATGCAGGGACACAAACCCATACAGCAGCAGGGATCCACGCTGGATTGAGAAATTTCCTTCCAAACCATCAGATGCCCTAGTTCCAGGCTTGCTGACGCCTGTTTTTCCAGACTCTGCTTTGGGGCAGTCTCTCCGATTCACTCCAGATTCAGTGTGGTTGGATTTATAATCCTAAAGAGTGGAACACTTTGCATAAGCACCTTCTTCTAAGAAGTAAATATTATTTTTAACCCTCCCCCCAGCACCTTTAGGAATAAAATCATCCAGGCACTGGTACCTGGGAGGATGCCATGACCGGTTCCAAAGGCAGTGAGGGAAGCTGGGACCCCCCGTGATGAACAACGATCTGCTCTCTCCATTCACCTGCTGGGAAGTCCAAGGGCTGGTCCTGTCCCGTCTGTCTCTGCAGCCCAAAGACTTGCTTGGCCTCAGGAGCATCTCTGCCCACACAAGGATGGCAGTGCAAGCCCAACTCACGGTGCTTCCAGCTGGTGTGACATAAGGAAGTGCCACTGATGGACAACTTGCTTTTCCTGTCTCACTATTTTGGGATGTGTGAACTCTTGGTGTCCCCCCCGCTTTCTCTGGGGATCTTGGAATTAAGAAAAAATAGTGCTGGTTCTAACTTTCCACACAGTGATTTCACCATGGTGCTATGACCCATTTAAGAACATCACAAGTGTAGTGCAATACCTGTGACAGAGCACCAGCCCCGGGGCCACTCTGTGACTTAGGTTAAAGAAATCAACATTTTCCTGTTGTTACCACTTTGTTTCTCAAATGCTTGGAGCATTCCTACCTGAGCATGAGCTGCAGGGCTCTGGGGCATGATGGCACTGCCTTGCATAGATCCTGTGGCTCTGCAGGTTTTCTCACAGTAGAACAGTCACTGCCACTTCCAGGACAGGGATGCTGCTCATCCCAGGCCAGGAGCATGCTGCTGAAGTCAATCCATGTGCATATCCCACTGCATGTCCTTCTGCAAAGGCACATCCCTGAGAAACAGCAACGATTTGGTCACCAGCTCTGACCTTTGCATTTTCCCAAAGCCTGTTTGATGGCCAAAGAAACGTAGCAAGACTGGGACTGGGCTTGTTTTCCAGATGGACTCTATGAGATATTTAAACAGCTTTTCCTATTTCTGTTTTGCTTGTTTGTTTTCTCCTCAAGCCTGTCCTGTGTTTCTGCCTCTTGCCATTCAGGACTTCCTATTAAAAACTCACCCATCCCTAAACTTAAGAAAGACAAGAAGGAAATTTGCAGTTGGAAGGCCAATGCTCTGGGCACTGCCTGTTGGGGCTGTGCGTCCCCTCCCTGGGATCTTTTCCCTGTGAATTTTTCTCCTTAAAGCTACAAGTTTCATGCAGAGATGGAACTCCTCAAGCTGGAAGGTGTCTGATCCCACTGGACCTTTTTAACTCCTGAGGGTGTGGTCAGGACCATTTCGGTTGTGATCCTAACAGGTTATTTCCCAGCAGGAACAGTCCCTTAAATTAAAAGTGGAAGCTCAGAAGATTTCTCCAAGCCCAGGTTTGGTAGGAGAGGATGCTGGGAGGGGACTTGTCTCCTTTCCTATGGAGAATAGAGGGATTTGAGCTGGTCCAGCTTCGTGCAGGGCCAGGAGCTGCCACACCTGGTGGGAGCTTCATCCTGCTCCTCAAAGCAACGTAATTTATACTGTGCCTAATCTACAGCCCATCTCTTGTTCTGTCTGCTTCATTCCAAACTTCTTGTTCGAGCTGGCAAAAAGCAACGACCAAACTCCTCACTGTAGCCACCCCCAGATTAAGTTTGTGCTGTAGATACTGTTTTGTAATTTCACTTTCCTATCATGTGCAGAGCAAACCCATAATCACCCCTCGCAGCTATTTAACCTCTTACATTTACACACTAATGGAAAGCAAAGATATTACATGCACATAGTTAGGCTAAAAAGAAAAACAATGCACAGGATGAGGGAGGCTGTTCACTCTCCAGAAGGATTTTTTTTTTCTGGAATACTGAGTACATATTAGCCAGCAGAAAGGATTATTTTCTGTCGTGTGTGTGAGCGCGTGGGATTTTGGTTTCAATCACAAGAATAAAAAAGGTTGGGTTGGATGAGGTATGTCTATTTTTAATGCTGAAAACTGCATTACGATGTGCATTTTTATATACAAATTCTTACTATTTTTTTTAAATTTGCCTCTAGTATCTTCATTTCTAACCTAGTATATAGAGGTTTTTAGTTTTGTAAATACTTACTACATGCACTGTCCTAGTAAAAGTTGGTTTAAAATGCACTCTTTGTGACCCAGAACTGACCTGCTCTTCACAACTAAAACTGCAGTACTTGATTGTATTGACAAACATCAATAAAACTTATTGTATAGAGGTGGGCTCAGCTGTGCTTTGTCCTGAGTCTTGCTCTGCCTCATACAGTTCTCTTACACTCTATTTCCACCTCAAATCATCTCACTCATTCCCAGCAGACTCCCTTACTAATATCCTTATGTAAAAAGCTATTGCATGTTTCTTGTGATTAAGACTCCTGTCTCCAGAAATTCAGTTTTAGAAAAGGTTGAAACTCAGATCCTTCCAGCCTGGTGATTATTAATTTCAGGGACTCAAGTTGAAGTCTTAAGGATTCCCTTTCCCTTCCGTGTTTTTTTTTTTTTTTCCCATGATTTTTTTATCCTACATCACACACCTTGTGCACAGCCAGCCTCCATCCTGCGGGAGTCAGGAACACTCAGGACTGGTGAATCACTTGCAAAGCACCTTCACAGACTCACAGTCCAAAGAGAAGAAAATGTGTTTTCCCACCTGATCTCACCTGGCAGAGGTGAAACATTTCCAGGGAAGCTTGGCTGACACACAGGCACCTTCAAAAGCTCATTGCAAGGAGCAAGCCATCCTCCTGCTGCCATTCACGAGGCTCCCAGTGAATTCCCTGGTCTCTGCACCATCCTCACATGCTGGTTTCCAGCACCTGAACTCCTTCCACAGGCTGAGAAGGAAAAGGGGCCTTTCCAAAGGCCCTCCCTGCAATGCTCAGTGTCAACTCACCCTTGTACCAAGAACCACTCCTGGTCCTCTTGGCACTGAGGATGCACAACTTCATGATTGAGTGAAAACACAGGAGCAGCGGCTACTTAACAAAGATAACTGAGGGACTTTACTTCTTTCCAAGGAAACTAAAGGGTTTAGTACACATCTAAAGTCAGGCACAAAGAGCTCCAGTCTTTTAACAAGAGCTCTTTGCTTGCCAGTAGTTCCAAACATTTAAAATTATAAAGTTGCTTTAAAAGAAAAATATTTTCTTTTAAATAATTACATGAATCTGGTTGTCCCTCTGGCAGAATAATATGGAAAACTGATATTTTACAGCTCAGATCTGCAGCACAATACAAAAATATACAACAGACCAAAATTCCACATGTTCCCAGGACAAGAATCCATTTATACAAGGAAAACCCATTATAGCATCACACAAAAGACTGGCACTTGAAGGGAGCAGACAACAGGGGAAAATGGAAGGACCTGTGGTAGCCAGATTCCCACATGTGCATGCAGCCTGACAGAGCCACCACGTGCTGACACCACTGGGGAGCACCACAACCACTTCCCGGTGTCACAAGACATACTGGAGAAATAACAAGAGTTACACTGTCACATTTAAGTTTATAAACATTTCCATATGATCACTTTTTGTTTTCAATTATTAAAAAACTTCAAACCCTTCCTAGATGTGCCATTCCCAAGCTGTTTCTGTCTTTTTGACCAGCTCCACTAGGAAAAGGTTTTAAATGTGAAGTTCTGGAACACAGCTGTGCTAGAATGTTCTTGGCCATCAGCAGCAGCTTCTTTTCAGTATTGATGTCCCCAATTAACCTACCTCTCCCTGTAATTCTGGGGCAATTTTTACCAAGTACAGAGGCTGAGACTGTGATAAATTAACTCCTGCATCCTGCTAGTCACTTTTGTGTATGACTGCAGTAGAACCAGGCATTCTAACCCTGTACTACTTCCACTCCCAGATCTGCACTCCACAGGAGCTGGACTCTCATGGTCCTTGTGGGTCCCTTTCAATTTGGGGTATTCTGTGATTAAAACAGGAACTTGGTGCTCTGGGCATATACAGGACTTTAAAAATACAGGATACATAGATTGGGAACACAGGAGCAGCCAGAGTGGCTGCAGCAGTGTGACAGCAGCTGTGCAAGGGGGCACAAAGTGCAGGAGGTGCCTGTTGGATCACAGGGCCAAGGACACAGGAGGAGCAGCAATTAGTGACACCCTCTCCCAGCAGGGACAATGAGGCAGCTGGGATTGTCTGCAGGCATCAAAAGTCTCTCACAGAGCCAACAGCAATGCAAAGAAATCCCTTCTCCCTTCTCTGGTCCTTCTCATTCTGCCTTTAAGGCAACAAACCTCCCTGGAAATCTGTGTTCCATTATCCTAATTCAGCACAGGTGACAACCTGGGCCACCAGGCCTCTCTGGTGACTCCCATGACACCCCTTATCTGGCCAGCTGAGAATGACCTGCTGCTGTACCAGGGGACAAGCCACTGACCACCAAAACACAGCCCATGGACATGGGAGCAGAGGAAAACAGGGAGAAAGTCCACAGATTCAGACACCTGCCAGTGACTGCAGTGACAAATGGCACAATGGTGGACAAAGCAATCAGCAGAAATCCTATGGAAAATGAGACACTCGTGTACACTCAGGGAGCTGCACCCACTGTCCAAGTGCAGCCACTTCCCAGCTGATCTGTGACTGAAGGGATGTCCTCTCTTTTCCAGGCTGGCTCCAGCTCCCAGCTGACAGCAGCAGGCGCCCTTCCCAGTGAGGCTCGCTGGCGTGGATCCATCGCTGGGCCTGACCACAGAAGCAGAGCTCACCATCCCTTTGCCTTCAGGAAAGCCCTGGAGCTGCCCCGGAGCTCAGAGCCGCTGGCAGTAGAGTTCATAGAGGCTCTTGGCCATCCTCTGGGTCTCCTGGAAAGCCTCACAGCTCTGCTCCCAGCTCGGGGGCACCTGCTCCTCCCCGTAATAGGCGCCGGCGATGGCCCCCGCCATGGTGGCGATGGTGTCTGTGTCCCCCCCCAGGGAGATGCAGTAGATAATGGTTCTCTGCAGGGCGTTGTAGTGGTCAGGAACGTCAGGATCAGCGTCCATGCAGCGCAGGAAGGAGTAGATGGCAGTGGGGACGGAGCGCAGCGCAGCGATGCCATTGCCTGGAACACACCCCGTCAGCACACTCTGGGCTTCCTTCCTTCTCCCTTCCTACTGCACCTTGCTGTTGCCAGTGACTTTCCATAATGATATCAAGCATTTTACCAGGATTTTACAAGGTGCAAAAGTTTGTGCCTCAGAAACGCCCCAGTAGCACTCACATCCTGCAGAGCAATTCCCAGTTAGCCCAGTATAGCCTAGCCATACCCATCTACTCATTCCCACTCAACACGATGACCCAATAGCCCTTGAGAGATCCTGGAATGTTAAGAAACATTATGCAAGGTAAATTTCCCTTAGCAATACACTTTTTTCCGATCAATACTAGAGGAAATCACTGGGTGGAGACTTAGAATTCCTGACTGGTGAGCACAGGCTGCTTTTCCAGCATATTCCGTGCCTGACAGGCAGCACAGGCTGAAGAGGAATCTAGGCGGACACACATCTACCAGGCTTGCTGAGTTAGTCCTGCTTCCAGCTTTCCTAAGAAAGGTACTCACCCAACTCAGACAATACATCTGCTTTGGGAACACTGCTGAGCTCCAAAAATTCCTTGATTTTCTTTAGACGCCTGGAAAATGGTAAATCCTCAAATCCCAGCCTGCAAACAGAGAGTGCAGTGAAGAGGAGAGAACAAGAGCCAGAAGAAACCACTGCAGCAGGGTTGGGGCTTTCCCCAAGCTACTCACGCTCGGGCATCACTGAGAGACTTGTCATCTGCCTCCACGTGCTCCATGTGGCTGATGAGCTGCTCCAGGAAGGTTTCCCTACTGAGCCCTTCCTGCAGTGCCAGGTGCACAGCCAGGGCCTGCAAGATGGCCCCGTTGTAGCCCAGGGAGTTGGCGTGGGTCAGCTCTGCGCTCAGCTTCGCAAACTGCCAGAGAAACCTTGCTGTCAGCAAAGCTTCCTGGGACACTCCCGGAGGAGCCCAGAATGCCCCATTACCTTCTTGACATCCTGGATGTCGGGATAGACAAGGGGGATGCCGGCCACCCTCATGGCCCCACCGTTCCCGTAGGAGCCCTTCCCGTTGAACTGGGCCCTCGCGGGCTCAAACACATCGTTGCACTTGGGGCTCAGGAGCTTCTTGAAGACGTTGACCACGGCCATCCCATAGCCCCTGTTGGGCTCCTTCTTGTACTCCTCAGCAAACCTGGTGTGGCCAGGGGGGAAAACACCCAGAGGGTTTGGTCTGTTACTGGGGTTTGTGATTGGATGAAACCTCTTGCTAAAGTGAATTAATAACACACACATAAATCAGTGTCAGGGCTCAGTGATTCAGTTCTGCAGGGAAACATTCCCAAAGAACAGTGTGAAAGAGGGATGTATAAACATCACCTTCCATAACCCACTTGCTTCCCTCTCAACTCTGCCTCAAAATAGAAGCAAACTAGAAGCATTTCCGTGGGTCACAACCACAAGGAAAGTCTTTTGTTCAAGTTCAATGGAAGAGTTTTCTAAACAAAGAAATGCTTTCCCTTAAGTGGAACCAAATGCTTTCAGGGCTGGGGATTCAACAGGGAAACAGATCATAAACAGAGTCAAGCTGAGCTCACTCCTATTCCCTCAGTAAATTAAGGGCAGCGCAAACATAAATAGCAACAAATAAACATAAAACAAAATGTTTCTGGAATCTCCAAACATTCTCCTCCTCAAAGGTGAACACACACAAGGCTGGCACACACAAAGCTGGCACACAGCAGTGCTGCCCTGTCAAGGCAGCTTCGGACTCCACACTGCTGCTGACACTGCTGCACAGTCCAAGGCAAGGCAAAGCAACAACAATCTAAAGTATTAACCACCTCTTTCCTAACTATTTCCCCTCCTAAAATCAGTAATTAGAATTAGTCTGCCTCAGCCCCTGTCCCCTTGCACAGACGGTCACAGGGATGGTTACACCTTCAGGAAGCCTCATGCTCACCTCTTGGCCATGTCAACCTCATCGAACTCCTGCTTGGCCAGCAGTGACTGCACCACCGACCTGCTCATGGCCGTGTCATCCGTGTACGGCAGCGACTCTGCAACGGGAGGGCAAAGAGTCACACCAGCAGCCAGGGACAAACTGCTCCTGCCCTTTGCCAGCACCACCCTCATCTCCAGGGCATGGCTGCCACAGGTTGCCTGGAACAGCTGTGGCTGCCCCTGGATCCCTGGAAATGTCCAAGGCCAGGTTGGAAAGGGCTTGGAGCAACCTGGGACAGTGGAAGGTGTCCCTGCCCATGGAAGATTTCTAAGGTGCCTTCCAACCCAAACCTGTCTGGAATTTAAGTTCCCCTGGCACTCTGAGGTTGACACTGCCATGGTTGTCAGAGTAAGGACACACAGCCAGGGAGTTGCATCCACAGCTATAATGACACAGAATATACTTCAAGATTAGTAAGAGCCAGGAGATGTCTGACATCCAGAGGTATATATGGACAAGAGAGTCAGCCCAACACAGAATCAAAGATTTCCAGGATGGTTGAGGTTGGAAGGGACCTTAACGCCCATCCTGTTCCATGGGCAGGGACACCTTCCATTATCCCAGGTTGCTCCAAGCCCCGTCCAACCCGACCTTGGACACTACCAGCACTGGAGCAGCCACAGCTCCTCTGAGCAATCTGTGCCAGGGCATCACCACCCTGATGGGGAACAATTCCTTCCCAATATCCCATCTAACCCTGCTATCTGGCAGTGGGAACCCATTGCCATATCCTGTCATTCCAGGCCTTTGTCAACAGCCTCCATCTTTCCTGCAGACTCCCCTCAGGCACTGTAAGGCTGCAATCATTTCCTAAGAGTCAAACAACAACTCTGTGCTTCTCTCACTCTTCTCCTCCTCAAATTTTGGTACCTCTGCTCTTGCTGACACCCCAGCACTGCCACACCCATTCACAGCACACTCCACCTCAGCTCCCTGAGTAGGAGCAGCAGGAGCCAGAAGAGCAAACCACGGGTCCCTCTGCATCAGCGGTGTCCCTAAGGAATCCCTAGGGAATCAGAACTGGCACTTGAAGGAAGCAGACAACAGGAAAACCCTGTTGAACCCCACAGCACAGGGGCACAGAATAGAGCAGGCCAGGGGACAGCCAGGGTAGTCAGTCACAGCGGAGATGCTCCACAACCTGGTGAGGGGTAAGGACTGAGGGGGAGCAGAGGGGTTGGGGATTCTGCAGGTTGGGCACACCTCAAAGCACAGTCCTGAGGGTGCTAAGGGACGCGAACACGCACCCCGAAGCCCAGTCCTGGGGGTACTGAGGGGACACAAACACCGCAAAGCCCAGTCCTGGGGGTACTGAGGGGACACAAACACCGCAAAGCCCAGCCCTGGGGAGTGCTGGGGTCTAACCCGAATCTCTGGGGCACCGAGTGCCGTGCACAGCGGGGTGTGCGAAGTGGGGGACCGGGCGATCTCCCCCGCTCCCCGCCGCGCTCCCCGCCACGCACCTCCACGTGCGCTCCCCGCCGCCTCCCCTCCCTCCTCAGGCGGCGCCGCTTCCAGCCCTTTGAGGAAACTCAGCAACTCCGGCAGCTTCACCACGCTCCTGCCTTCGAAAACAGCTCCCAGGCAATCCCCCAACAACGCTCCGGCTAAACAGCCTCGGAACCGAGCGAGGCCGGGCCGGGGACGAACCGGGAGCCGCCCGGGGCTTGAGGGCGGACCGGCCGCCGCCATTTTGCAGCGAGCGGCGCTTCATTCCTCCGGGCCGCTAGGGGGCAGTGTGCGCGGAAGCGCCGAAGGCGCTGCCGCGCACACTGCCCCCTAGCGGCCCGGAGGACCGAGGTGCCGACAGCGCACCCGCCTGTTCTTTCCATCAATCCCTCCTGGAATCCATCTGGATTTAATCACCGAGGATGACAACAGGCCCTTTTATTGTTTATAAATCTCCTCGGAGCGCGGGAGGCTGTAAACATCATCCAAGGGCCAGACGGTTATAAAACAAACTAAGAGGAGAATTCCATTCTCCCCAAACGCGACGCAGATGGTCTCTTTTCCTCGCTAGGGATCTGGATCACCGGGAGTTTTCCTCTCTCCCAGCGCTTGCGCAATTCCCGGTGTGCTAAGCCAGCTCCAGCTGACTGTTCCTCGGCAGGTTCCTGGTGCGGTTGACGGCGTCGACCTCTGGGTCAAACTTCTCCACAGGGATCACGAGTTTTCTGCGGGTGTCCATGCACTTGTTGTCCAGCTGCAGAGAATTGGTTTTGTAACCAATATCGGTCTGAATGCGGTGAAGTTGTCTGTAAAGAGCATCCAAGGCATCCCTGGGAATGAGTAGAAAGGACAGGAGTTGGGATCAAATGTTGCATTGCTTTCCAGGAACAGACTCCCCAAGGAATAGTCCCCAGTCCCAACCCTGTCAGAGCTCAAGGAACAGGTGGAAAATGTTCTCAAGCACAGGGTGGGATTTTTGGGGTGTCCCATGCAGGGCCAGGAGTTGGTCTCAGTGATCCTTGCATGTCTCTCCCAACTCAGGGTATTCCATGATTTAAAACTGGACAGGAAGCACCCAGCTTCCCACTTTCTGTTGGCCCTGTGCAAGGAGCAAACTCATCAGATACTCATTGTTTGGGGCAGTGAATATCCAGCCCACACACTGCTCTGGGAGGGCAGCAAGGGATGTGCACCCAGGGAGTTGCCAGCCCACAGCAGCACTTCTGTTCCTTCCTTGTCACTCTCTTTTTTGTCCCTTTTGGATTAATTCAGAGTCAAGCAGGGGCTGTGGGAGTCCCATTCCCCTCCCAGCACAGACCCCTTGTACCCCACACCCACCAAGCCCAAACACTGCAGCCCCTCATGAGCCCAAGTACCACGAGCACCAAATGCAGGTGCTGGAGGGGTGCCCAGAGCAGGGACACCCAGAGCCACATCCCCTCAGGGCAGCACTGGGCACTGCTGTTCCTGCACAGCAGGACACTCACTGTGACTCTGTCCGCTTCTGCTGGAGCGCACGGATTATCCCCTCCAGCTGCTGGACCTCGTCTGTCAGTCCATACTGAGCCTGCAGGGAAGAGAGGACAGCGCTGAACAGGGCTTTAAAAAGGCCACAGTTCCCTCTTTCCCCTCTCCCCAGCTCTGAAATTATTCCCTTGCTTTGCTGTGTCACTGTAGGATCCATTGCTCAGCTGCTCCAAAACTCATCCATGTTTTTCAGAGCCCCCATCCAGGTCAGTTCCCTGCAGGGACCATGCCAGGTGAGATACCTGATCCCGGCAGAGGTCCAGGTGGGGCCGGTACGTGCGCGTCTCCAGGCGGGTGTGAGCCACTTTCAGATCCAGTGTTCTCTTCCGGATGTCTTCCTCCAGCTGCCGGATCTCCTCCTCCATTTCACCAATTTCCTCCAAGGTCTGAGGACAGACATGTGTTGTGAGGAACAGCCTGGGATGCAGACTGGGAAACTGCCCCCATGTCTCTGGGAATTCTGCTGTGCTGGGGATAGATTTTACTCAAGGGCTTCTGAGGACTGAATCCTCCACTTTCACATGGACCAGGATGGTGCTGCTGAGACAAGGGGTGAAATAAAGAGGCTGAAACCTGGCGGTGCTGCTAAGCGGTGCCAGAGAAGCACTTGTGAGAGGTGGGATACTGCTGGGATTGTATGTGTGCCACTGAACAGCAAACTTGTGGAAACTACACTCAGGCTGAGTCACTTTCCATGTAACAGTCTTTGAGATTACATTCCCAGCCAGGATTGTAGTCAATGACAAAGAAACAACACTTACGTTCTGCTCCTGCCATCTCAGCTCACTAAGGGCTCCTTCCATGTCTCTCATCCTCTTCCTCAGTGCAAACTCTGTAGCTATACGCTGAGCATCCAGCTCATTGTTTGTCTGAGGAGAGAACAGCTCCAGTCACACATGGCAGCAAAGTGTCTGTGTCCCCCCAAGCTGTGCCTAGAAGGCTGGGAAAAACCCAGGAGCAAAACCAACTGGGTTTGGCTGCTGCCACGTGTGCATGTCACACTTCTCCAGTAGCCAAAAGGTGGGGATTGATGGACAGGGACGTGTCCTCCAGCTTGCTGAGACTGCTGCCAGCTCTGCAGCATAACCAAGCTCCTACTTAAACCAGGAGGGCAGCTGCTCCCAGGCAGATTCAGAGACATGCCTGCCACTCTCCCACACATGATCCAGAATGGCACCAGAGATTCCAGGCCAAGGGAGCAGTTTACCTGGGCAATGCTAAGTGTGATTGCTCCTCGGAGATCAACTGAGGCTTTCATTGCTGCCTCAGCACGCTCCTTGTTGCACTGGCTGTTCAGTTCCCACTCACGAAGTGCAGTTGATCTGTGAACAAATCAGTTACAAAAATAAATTGAGTGTTTGCAAGATATTTTAAAGGAAACACCTAGTGCAGGCCAGGATGGCAGCACAAAAGGATTCTGGAAAGCTGGAGGTCACATCTTTCCTGATCTCCTTAGAGACTGAACTCACCAGGCCTAACATCTGCTCCACCAGGGACACATCCAAACCATGGAAAGGAATGCCAGGCAAGTGAAAATATGCAGCAGGTCCCCCTGAGCTGTGCCAGAGGTGACACCATACTGCTGAGTGTCACGTACAGCTAGACAGGAGGGAGGCAGGGCACCTGGCCCCCACTGGGTTTGTGGTGACAATTTAGCTATTTCCCAAAAATCTGTAGCTTCCCCCTGTCACAATCAACTTCTGTTTGTTCTGAGCTCTCTCCAAAACTGTACCCATCAAGCCTGGACACAGCAGGGAAGGAAAAAGCATCCCAAGGGCTCTGGGCAGATTTGACCACAGAAGGGCAGATTCTTTCCTTACCCATCTGGGATCCGTGTTGGGTTGACCTTGAAGGAGATGTTGCCAGAGGTGGGATTGAAGGACATGCACTGCCGATCAAGTTCTAACGTTTCCACCTTGTGCCGGTGGTCAAGGCTCAGCTGCTGACGAGCTTCCTTTAAGAGGCTGCAGAGAGCCAGGCTGGAGTCAGTGGGGAGCAGGCCCAGGGTAGGGGGAGCTCAGAATTCCCAAAGCCTTCATCACCATGTCACTCATCTTAGTGAAATGAATGATAAGCTGTCACCCTCTCTGGGAACTGGGCCTGACCTGCCCAGCCCTGCCTGCCTGGCTGCCCCGGGCTGTGTGCTGGTGTTGCCCTGGAGAACGGAGCTGTGAAGGATTCCCACAGAGTATCAGGGCCTGGGAGCTTTAACACCTCATGGCCACTGACTCCTAAACCAAGGCAGGTGGCATGAGATCTGGGACAAAATTTCCAAATGGTGCTTGTGAAGTCACCCTTGACACACCCTTCGCTGTCAAATCCCAGACCCTGAAAATCATCCAGGGTTCCTGTGTGGTTCCCTGCCTGCCTGCCCATCTCAGCATGGCACTAGAGGCACATTAAGTATCTGGGGCCAAACAAGAAGAGCAGAATCACCAGCCAAAAGCTGTCACTCCTCACCAGAGCTGTTTGAAGGCATCGTCCACTCGCTTCTGCAGCTCTTTCTTGGTTTTCTCAATCACCTTCACCTCTTTGTGTAGCTCCTCTTCCACAGGATCCCTCACCACATCAATGTCACGACGGCTCTCACGGAACGTCAGACACTCAATGGCAACATCCAAACACAAGTTCTTTGCCTGGAGGGCATTTTCTGCTGCTTCCTTCACCTGGAAGAAGCAATCAGTCAGGTGTGTGGGGGATAATTTAGGGATTGGAGAGAGAAAGGAAAGGGAACCCACCCATGCCATCATTAAGAGAGACTCACACTGTCTTTGCAGTTCTGAAACCTTTTATCAAATCTGGAATAAAAATTGCTAGAGCCAAACACCTTAGTCCTCTACACCTGCCATTTGCATTGGGAATCACACTTTTCTGGGGGTTAACAACTCCAGAAACAGCAGCAACTTCTGGGTTTCAAACTCACACTATCAGAGATCTCCCACCACTATTCTCTATTTAAACCCAAACATTTTTGAAGGATGGTATTAGCATATTTTTTTAAATTATCTTTCAGAGCTTTATAAAAAGTCCAAATAACAAAATCCACCCAGAAATCCAAACAGGAGCGTGCAATATACAGCTGCATGACACGGCTTGGCTCAGCCAAGAACACAGGGGTTTGTTTTTTCCAGGAAGTCATTCCATCAAGTATGGATCTCAGTATAAAATATACACACACACACACACACACACATACATATATATATATATAATTATCTAGTGAGAAGCCCCCCTTGAACTCCAGATGGGCTTGCCCATTGCACAAGACAAGCCTCAATTATTTCACATCCCATGTTGAGAGTGTAAGTTCATTTCCAGCCATCTGCCTTCCCAACATACTTTGGTTAAGGCATCAATTTCCAAATCTATGTCTGCGAGGCATTTGGCCAGGGCCTCTCTCCATCTGTCCACGCTGGTGATACGATCTTTGAGGCGGGTTTGGCTGTTGTGCTCATCCCATTTTGCCTGGAATTAGAGAGAAATGCCATTACTCTTTTTAAAATTGTAGTTGTGAATCCTGCTGAAGCCTTTCCCCATTTTCAGGACAGATTGAGCCTCTCACAGGAATACAACACGTTGCCATTTGGGATCACAGTCATTTACACAAACAGCACAGAGAACAACATGAGTGGCAATGAATGTTAAAAAACACACATGGGGATTTAGTGACAGTACAGATACATCATTGCAGGTGGGTTTACAGGGAGTAAATGTCCATACTTAGCAT